CATACAGAAAGTGAAAAGATGTATTTGGAAACTCTTAAAGCAATCGGGCATGGTTGTGGCCTGTCATGTATCGGTCATGAAGGATTTGTCCCATACCACCGAAGCACCGACCTGAAGACCCCTGAGACCTGAGAACTCCTGCTGGACAGTCAGCATTTTCATAGGGCTCATGTCTGTGATTGTTGTTCTGTTGTGCTCTCTCAGGCTGTTTTCCTATTCTTAGCAGTCTCTGTTTGGGAATTAATTTTGTTGGAACTCTGTATGGATTTTCTTTTAGGCATCTCAAGCTGGTGTCAGAAGTTGCTCGAGGCCAGGCACGGTGACTCAAGTCTGTGATCCTAGCACTTTGGGAGGCCAAGGTGAGCGGATTGCCTGAGCCCACGGTTCAAGAACAGCCTGGGCAACTTGGAGAGACCTCATCTCTACAATAAAAATCAAAAAATTAGCCAGGCATGGTAGTGAGTGCCTGTAGTTCTGGCTACTTGGAAGGTTGAGGTAGAAGGATTGCCTGAGTCCAGCAGGTCGATGCTGGGGTGGCCATGAGTGTGCCACTGCACTCCGGCCTGGGCAACTGAGACTCCAACTCAAAAAAAAAAAAAAAGTTTCTCTGCTGAGGTGGTTCATGCCTATAATTCTCCCAGCACCTTGGGAGGTTGAGGCAGGAAGATTGCTTGAGCCTGGAAATTAGAGACCATCCTGGGCAACATAGTGAGACCCTGTCTAAATAAAAAAGAGTTGCCTTGCTGATAAGTGTATAGTTTTGTGCTCATGAAGATGTTCGTGCATAGGTTTTGTTCCAGTTAAATGTTGGCTCATGTATTTGTTGGTTTTGAGTTAGGCAGATTCCAAGAAGCTAAATGATTATTACCACTTCCTGTATTACAAGCACTTTGTTTTCCACATATGAGTCATATGAGAATCCTGAGATGTAGGTGCTTTAGAAGGCAGGGGTTGTGAGGATTTGAAATCATGTTGAATTACACATTTAGCTTCTTTTTTTTTTTTTGAGTTGGAGTCTCACTCTGTCACCCAGACTGGAGTGCAGTGGCCACTCCTAACCACCACAGCCTCAACCTGCTGGGCTCCGGCAATCCTTCCACCTCAGCCTTCCAAGTAGCCAGAACTACAGATGCGTGCTACCATGCCCAGCTAATTTTTTTGATTTATTGTAGAGATGCGGTCTCACCAAGTTGCCCAGGCGGGTCTCGACCCCATGGGCTCAGGCAATTCACTCACCTCGGCCTCCCAAAGCGCGGGATTACAGGCTGAGCCACCGAGCTCGGCCGCATTTAGCTTCTTTCTGAATTCTAATCTAAGTTGAAAATTGGCATTGTTGATGTGTCTGCAAGATTGACTTACTTCTGTCCTCATAAGGAGTTTATTCTAAGATGTGGGTCCTTTATCAACTCAAACTCACATCCCTCACAGAAAAGCTCATTGGTTTTTGTCCTTTAATGCCATTATCCTCAAGGACAGGACAGACCTGTTAGGCAGAAGGCAGACCATGATGGGAACCTCTTCTAGGGTGGAGCCCCACAAGAGTATCTGGGGCCTGTTGGGCTATTGTTTGGAGGGCATTGTTTTTGGAGGTCGGCCAATCTGGAGGATAGGACACCTGAGAGGGAGTCTCCAGGCAGCAGGTGCTACGTGCTCAAGGACCTTTGGCCCAGACCCAAGCAGAGCTAAACCGGAGTAGGATGGGGAGCTGGACAGGCAGACTTGGGAAGGGGTGGGTGTGCTGGTGCCTGAGATTCCCCTCAGCTCACAGAGATACTTGCCCTGTGAGGACAGGGGTCATCTCAGACCTCACCTTCTTCCATTAGTTATCTGTTGGTGTGTAACAAATGTCCACAAACTTAGAGGCTTAGAATAACACACGTGTATGTATGATCTCATAGTTTCTGTGGCTGGGAGTCTGCTCGGGGTTCCCAGAAGGCTGCAGTCAGTGTGTTGGTCAGTCTGGGGTCTTTTTGGAGTTCAAGATACTCTTCCAAACTCACATAGTTGTTGGCAGAATTCAGTTCCTTGTAGTTATAAGACTGGGATTCCCTATTCCTGCTGGCATCAGGCAGTAGCTGCTCTCAGCTCTGTGAAGCCACTTGACCCCTCACAGGACCCTCACTTCACAGCAGCTCTCTCAAAGCCTGCAAAAGACTCATTCTAGACTTCCAGACTCACTTTTAAAGGGCTCATCTGATTAGGGCAGGCCCACCCAGGATTATCTGTTTTGAACAACACAAGGTTAACTGATGAGTGAACTTAACTATTTTTTCAATTATCTTTGCCATGTAACATAACCTGATCACAGGAGTGATGTCCATCATGTTCACAGGCCTGCACACTCAAGGAAAGAGCGTTATGCACGTTGCAGCAGTAGGAATCTTGGGGACCAACCCAGAACTCTGCCGGCCATACTTCTCTTTCCCTCTGTCCCCCACTGGTGGCCCCTTTCTTCTCCCAGCCCTTTCTTCTTTCCTACATTCTCCCTCCTCTGCTCTCCTTCTTCCCCGTGCTCTCCCTTCTCTTTCCCAAACCCTCCTCTCTCTTCCTTCTCACCCAGGCTGATGGGCTAAGGCTGCTGTGAAAACACAACACAGAGCTACCTGCCTCCCCCAGGAAGGGCCGATGAGGCGGGCTGCACATACTATGGCCTTAGTCATTGGGCTGGCCCATTGGTGGGGCCAACCCAACAGTCTAATGCTCATTCTTTTCTTTCCCCTCCTGCTTTACCTTTGCTGGATCTTTTTACAGATCCCAGAGGCCCTTTACACAGTGTAACATGGGCTTGGTAATTGAAAATGGTAGTGAGGTATCAGAATTCTGATGCAGTTGTGATTTTTGACACCCCTTGATTTGAAAGACACAGAGCTGGTTAATAAATGAGCCACTTGAATGAACCAAGTTACAGAACAAATTCAGTGTGCAGACACAAACAAGCCAACCTCAAAGACAGATCAACTATAGCCAGTATTCAACTTAGATTTGAATTTAGAAAGAAAATAAGTGGGCAATATAATACAAGTATGGGGTGGGGGTGATGGACGATTTTGACCTCAAGACCTCCTGTCTGGCTTGAAACCTTGCTGCTGGCTAACCCCACAGACCATGCCAGAACATCTCTGAAGGCTCCATTTTAAGATTATGTGGGGGCTGGGCATGGTGGCTTATGCCTGTAATCCCAGCACTTCGGGAGGCCAGGGAGAGAGAATTGTCTGTGCCCGGGCGTTAGAGACTAGCCTGGGCAATTTGGCAAGACCTTGTCTCTACAGAAAATAAAAAAACTAGGTGGACATGGTGGCACATGCCTATAGTTCCAGCTACTTGGATGACTGAGGCAGAAGGATTACCTGAGTCCAGCAGGTCGAGGCTGCGGTGCCACTGCACTCCAGCCTGGGCAACAGAGTGAGCCTCCAACTCAAAAAAAAAAAAGATTATGTAGGAGCTGGGTAGGGTGGCGTACCTCATAGTCCCAGCCAGCTACTCAGGAGACTGAGGCAGGAGCACCACTTGAGCCCAGGAGTTTGAGACTACAGTGAGCTATGACTGCAACTGTGAATAATCATCGTTCTCAGCCTGGGTGATATAATGAGACCTTGTCTCTTAAAAAAATAAGAAATGATCATGTGAGATACTGGAAAATTGTGTTCATAGAACTGTTGGTAGAGGGATTACAGGTATATTCCCCTGCACAACACTAAGTGAAAAGAAGGTGGAACTTGTTTAACACCAGAAAACCTGGATTCTGGTGCCATCAGCCTTACTGACTGTTGTATCACATAAAATACAGCATGAATAAACATGAAATTTGTAAAACGTGCAACAGTTCAAATGCCACATTCGGCACTGTTAGGTACCCTCCCTGGTCTAACATTTTAAATGTTTCTCAAGTAGAATGTGGCAAAACAGCTACAAGGTGAAGAATGACTAAAAGGAGACAGTCTTTTTTTTTTTTTTTTTTTTGAGTTGGAGTCTCTGTCTTCCAGGCTGGAGTGCAGCAACACCATCACTGTTTAGCATAGCCTCAATCTCCCAGGCTCAGGCAATCCTTCCACCTCAGCCTCCCAAATAACTGGGACTATAGGCACACACCATCCCACCTGGCTTATTTATTTATTTATTTTTATTTATTTATTTATTTATTTATTTATTTATTTATTTATTTATTTTGTAGAGACAAGGTCTTGCTATGTTGCCCAGGTTGATCTCAAACTTCTGGGCTCAAGCAATCCTCCCATGTCAACCTCCCAAAAGTGCTGGAATTACTGGCATGAGCCGTCACACCCAGCCAGACAGTTTTGTTTTGTTTTGTTTTTAAACATAAGGAAGGACTCCAGTAGCTTTAGAACCATTCCACTCTAATCTTTATTGTCTGGAGAGAAGATGGGCTCTCCACTGCTGTGTAAAGGGGCCGCTGAAGGCATAGGTGTGGTGAGAGGCGACTATATGGGAATTCTGGAGAGTGGGTTGGGGTCCTGGCTCCATACCAGCCAGCTCCATGCAGCCTCTCCAAGCCTCTGCCTCCTGCTCTGTAAAGTGAGGGGTGGAACTAGAAACCTGCAGTAGCATCCAGCTCTGACACTCTGCCCTGGGCTTCTGTTGTAACTCCAGCGGGAGGCCGACTGTCCAGCCTTGTCATTTACAGACTGTGTGACCTTGGACAAGTTTCTTTCTCTCTCTGTGCCTGAGTTCCCTCATGTATAAACTGGAGATGGCAGCACTTTCTACCTAATGGGGCTGTTTCAAGGAGTGCATGGCATAATATTCATAAAGTGCTTAGAATGGTGCCCACTTGGAATGTAATAAGGGCTCAATAATTGGTAGCAATTATGATGATGATAACTATGGTTACTGCCAGTCCTGACCACCTTTTTAACTCAAGTTTGAGAATCATCGCTGTATATCTACTAAACAAGGTTTTTTTTCAGCATCATCGCCACTGACCATGCCCTGGGAAGATGCTTGCTGCTGTGTCCTCTAATAAGATGTCCTGTCTGTTTCAGGCGGAGGCCCGGCTTGCGGCGAAGCGTGCGGCCCGCGCTGAGGCTCGAGAGATCCGCATGAAGGAGCTGGAGCGGCAGCAGAAGGAGGTAATGCTTGGGGCTCTCCCTGGTATCTTTTCACAATGATTTTCATCGTAGGCCCAGCATGCAAATGCAGGCACCTGTTGCTGCTGATGCACCCAATGGTCTCACATTGCTGGAGTTCGGAGTGGTGCGCATTTGCACTTGTGACTTCTGCCCTAGGTCATGCCAGGAGTGTGTGTAGCATAGATGTCAGGCGTGCCTGCCCAGACCTTGACGTGCTGGTTCCTGAGACAAAGCCTATGAGCCTCTTGCTTGCAAAGATCCTCCTAACCCTGGCTCAGAGGAGCCACAGGGTGCTGGATCTGAACTCAAGGTCTAACTGTTGAATCTAGATCCTCCAGATTAAAATGGGAAGGAAGAGCAGATTGATAATTTTTTAAACTGATCAAATTGTATTTTAAAATATTCCCCCCGTGGTTTCCACAGTGTTGAATAGGTTTCAGGATACCTGAAGCCTGTATGTGATGCAGAGAAGAGAAGGAATGTCATGGATGAAAGGACCAAGGAAGAAATGCCCCCCGCTGGGAAAATGGTAGTAATGTGTTGACACACCTGTTCATATTGTTTGCCACTTATTTTCATCATCTTGAGGTGGAGCCAGAAGTAATTTCTGGCAGCACAAGGGCTCTGTACTTCACAGGTAGGGTGGTGACCTTTTCCATGATCTCAAAGACAAAGGCACCAAGCCCCTCTCAGTCCATGTTCATCTGGAGTCCTGTGCGGTGGGGCCAAGGGACTGTCCACACTGGGCCCCACCCTAGAGGGCTTTTCTTGTTAAGAAGATTTGAGGTTTTATTGTGTTAGGCAGAAGTCACTGACTGCTTTCCCCTGGACTGATTTTCATAAGTTCTTATTTGGCTTGCATAGTCAAATTTAAAAAGTCGAGCCAATGTTTAAAACTTGTGAGAGTTCAGAGAAAAATCTTGAATTTCCAGTTTCTCAAAACCGCTGCGATTCTGCCACATTCCCAACAAAGACCAAGCCAGTCACATTCCCTAGAGGGATGAAGCCCCAGCCACCCAGTCTGAGGTGCCCATTGCCCTTCCCTGCTGGGAGTTTGCCACTGCACATGGAAGTATGTAGGCAAAGGAGAGGCAGTGTCACCATGTCTTGGGAATGGTCCTGAAACCGAGCAGCTCCATGAGCTCAAACTCTTGTGTATGTAATAGTTGCTGGAGGCCAACTAATGGAATAGTTCTTTTATTATGAACTGTTTTTGTTTGTTTGCTTGTTTTTTGGGATTTTTTTTTTTTTTTTTTTAGTTGGAGTCTCATTCCATCGCCCAGGTTGTAGTGCAATAGCATGCTCGTGGTCATCCCAAGTGTCGACCTGCTGGGCTCTAGTGATCCTTCCACCTCAGCCTTCCAAGTAGCCAGAATTACAGGCGTGTGCTACCTCACCTGGCTAATTTTTTGATTTATTGTAGAGACAAGGTCTCACCAGGTTGCCCAGGCTGGTCTCAAACCCGTAGGCTCAGGTAATCCTCTTACCTCAACCTCCCAAAGTGCTGGGATTACAGGCTTGAGCCACCACGCCCAGCCTGTTTCTTTGTTTTGAGTTGGAGTGTCACTCTGTCATTCAAACAGTGGCACGATCACAGCTACTGCAGCCTCAGCTTCCAAGTAGCTGGGGCTATAGATATGTGCTACCACACCCTGCTAATTTTTTGACTTATTTTAGAGACGAGGTCTTGCCATATTGACCAGGCTGGTCTAACATTATGTTGAACTCCTGGGCTTAGGCAGTCCTCTTACCTCAGCTTCCCAAAGTGCTGGGATTAAAGTGGTTTCCAAAAATATTGATTATTTATTTATTTATTAAAGATGTGGGGTACAATTCAGGGTTAGCTATATAAATGTTCATTATGCTGGTACCCTTGTTAATGACATGTGCCCCTCCCTCCCCTGGCAGTTTCCCTCAACTGCCAATCCCACCCCCCTCCCCTGGCAAAAAAACTGATTTTAAGTGACAAAATTCCACTTACTTCTTCAGACTGTCCGGTGTCGTTGTCTCTTTAGAATATTCCTGTTCATATCTCAGCAGATACTTTTTCAAGCTCGTTGTGTACAGGACATCACTAGCCCCTTCCATCTGTCTAGAAGCCAAGTGGCAGTGGGACCAGACATTTGTTCATGGGCAGTGGACCACCATTTCAAAGATGTGTCACGTGTACAGCAGGCGGCTGTCTCAATCTGCAGAGCCTGGAGCTGGTGAAAGCCACCCCCTGTGGCTAATTCCCACTGCCCACCAACTCTGATACTCATCCGGTTTTAATCTGCTTCCCCTGGTTCTCCAACAGGCCCCAGTCTTTTTTTTAAATTAAGGTCATAAAAGAGTTGTAAGAAGAATTTCTAAAAATATTTTGTTGCGCTGCCAGGTTTTGCCACAGTTGATAGGATTTTAAGTCCTCCTGCTCTTTAGTGCTTCCCACATAGCTGTTGCCTTGACCTGGTTGTCACTGCCAAGCCAACAACCCAGAGGACATAGAGAGGCAGTGAAGCAGTATGTGGGTTCTCCTTGGTTTTCATGATGATATTAGTAATCAGTCAGTTATTTTTCTCACCTACAGTATAAGAAAATTTCTTTCACTAAGAATGCAAATATGAAATTTCTACAAAATCAAGGTGAAAATGAATTAAGTAGTATGTACATACATTTCTATCTTCCAGGTTATACATTAGATATAATATGTTCTATCCTCAATTATCGGTAGAATTGATTTAAATATATACATGATGGTATAAGCAGCTTTGTTCCTCATAGAATTTCTTTGGCAAAAGTTCTTAATTTAGAGAATAAAGATTAAGTTGAATTAAAGCAAGACATTATCTATTTGAATGACCTCCTTTAAAAGCAAAGCATCACTTTCTTCCTCATTTTTTTCTTTTTTAATTTTACTGAGTCAGTTCTCACTCTGTTGCCCAAGCTGGAGTGTACTGACATAATCACAGTTCGCTGAAGTCTCAAACTCCTGGGCTCAGGCGATCCTTCTGTCTTAGCCTCCTGAGTAGCTGGAATTACAGGTGTGTGCCACCATGCCCAGCTAATGTTTTTATTTTTAGTAGGGATGAGGTCCTGATATGTTGCCTAGGCTGGTCTCCAACTCCTGGCCTCAGGTAATCCTCCTGCCTCGGCCGCTCAAAGTGCTGGAATTACAGGCATAAGCCACCATGCCCAACCTCTTTCTTCCTTTGAGTCAAAGGAAGGCCTCTTCTGTTGTATTTTAATTCTAAAATATAAGAGTAATCTGTTAATGAGCTCCTATACCTCAGTTGCAGTATTCCAAGCCACACAAAAATAAAAATAAGCCAGGCATGTTTGCCCATGCCTATAATCACAGTTACTCGGGAACTGAGGTGGGAACATCCCTTAAACCCAGGAGTTAAGGCTGCAGTGAGCTATGACCACACCAATGCTCTTAAGACTGGGCAACAAAGCAAGACCCTGTCTCTTATAAAAAAGGGAAATAAGAAAAAAAAAAGTTGCTATTTAAGATGGAAACCAAGTCCCTGCTGTAAAAATGGAGATTGGATGTCCGGAGGCATGTGGAGGGTGTTGGAGCCTTGGCTGCCTCTCATCACCCCTCATAGCAGCCCTCGAGGCCCGTGGAAGCCCCTACTGCACAGCAGGAAAGGTAAGCCCAGAGGAGTTAAATAACTCATCCAGGACCAGGGCAGCTGGGCAGCTGAGCTGAGATTCAGACTAGGGCCTGTGACTCACAGAGCCTGCACCCCACACAGAATAACCCTCAGATGTTTGATACCTCTGATGAGCACAGACTTTTCAGAGAAAATCTGATGAAATCCTGGGCAATCTGATTTTACACCTCCTTAATTTGCTTCTTCAGGTATATATACAGCTGTCATTTGGTTAGTAGATTGCATAAGAATTTTGAAAATCTTTGGAGAACATGATTCATTTTTACCACAAAGACATTTCAGTAGTTCACTGGGGTCAAAATGTATTGTCCTGATTCAGATTCCTGGGAGCATCTGCCAGAACAATAGTTTGAGGATTTTGGTCTGCGCCCCCAGCCAGGGAGGACTGAGAGGAAAGCATGGGATCCCTTGTGAGAAAACAAGTTTGGCAAATGTCATCTTTTTTATCTGTACCTGTGGATTGCTCAAACCTCAGCTTTCTCATCAGTGAGGTGTATGCGCTCATGTCCTTCCCCGGTTGTAGTCTACTGCTGTGATAAAGTGAAGGCCCACTATATGCAGCTACAGACGCTCCACTGTGTGCAGCATTGGGGTTAGGTCACGTGACTGGTGGCCCAGCCCCCCACTGGAGCTCACCAGTGTGTGGAATGAGAGCTCTGGAAGGTGTGGGATGGGTCCAGGAGGGTACAGAGAAATGAATGCTGCCAAAATGGTAAGTGGGGATGCAAGTGGGTATGTTAAATAAAGGCAGCTCGAGGTGAAAAAAGCCAGTTTTTGTCAAAGCAGAGGACAGATGTGGCAGGGAAGAAGCTGTCCTTGGGAGATGTGAACCAGATGGAGGAAGGAGGTGGACGATAGAGGTTGGAGGAGACACCCTGACCCTGCCACTGTCCTTACACTGTCCTAGAAGCCCAGTGACAGCAGCATTCATTCATGAAGATGACAACTTTGTCATAACTTTAGGATCTTTGCAATAGGACAGAATTACTATTAAGGTTGATGTCTGCTTCTTCAAAAAAGAGATTTGAAAGATTTTAAATAAGATAGATGTATGTGTTATGACTAGTCAGAGAGGATGGGGCAGCTTGACATCCAGGGTCCCCGCTGTGTGGCAGTGCTGAGCTCAAGTGCTTTTATTTACCACCTGTGAGGGGCATCTTCCTGTATTTTACAGGTGAGGAGAACTGGCCTTAGCAAGATTAGTCAGTTTTCCCAGAACTTAAGCAAATAGCTGAGCCAAGATTCTAATCTAGATCTGGCTGGCCTTCCTAGCACACCAACTCTGTAATCAACAGCAAAAACAAACAAGAGCAGAGGATGGAGTGAATATGTTGACCATGGAGT